GCAGGCAAACCGGGGGAACCGGCGCCCGCTCCGGGATGCTGTGGGGTGTCCCGGTGCCAGGCTGCTGTGGGGTCAGGGAGGGCCCAGAGCAGCTGTGGATGCCCCATCCCTGGAGGGGTTCAAGGCCAGGCTGGATGAGGCTTTGGGCAACCTGGGCTGGTGGGAGGTGTCCCTGCCCATGGCAGGGGGGGGGACTGGGTGATTTTCAAGGTCCCTTCCCACCCAAACCCTCCTGGGATTCTGTCCCTGGGGTAGGGCTCTCCTCTCCCCGCAGCGAGGGTGGGTGTGGGGAAAGCTTTGCGAAGAGCGGGCTTGTCTGTGCAGGAACGGGAATGGAGGGGATCCAGGGAAACGTGGGAAGCCTTTCATCTTTTTAGAGCAAAGGCTTGGCTACAGGGAGCTTAGACCACCTTATGCCTTGGGGAGAGCCCAGGCGCTTCACTTGTCAGGAGTTAGGAGTGGATTTGCCTTCCCCGTCCTGCCAGCCAAGCGTAAGCAGGCTCCAGGGAGAGCTCCTGAGTTTTGCTTTGGTCGTGGGAAAATGAAAAGCTGTAAAATGTGGCTTTGGGGGAAGTCTGGGAACACACAAAGACTTCTTTTTATGCCTTCCTCGTCCCCGCCGGTTCAATCAGGTGATAATGTTTACTGAGCCAGAGCTGAAAGTCAGGTAGAAGACGTGGTGTGGTCCGTGCCAGGACTGGGAATGGCACCGCTGCTCTCCTCTTTCTGTCTTGCATACATCTCCAAACCAGCTTTGGTTTTGGCTTCTTTTCTTTTTTGATAGGTTAAAATTTCCACCGTAGTCTTTTCCTGGAGGATTTTCCAAAGCTTTTAACCTTCTCATCCTCCTCTGGGACTGCCAAAGAGATCTGTCATGCTGCCAAAGTCACCGGGCATCCTTGTTTCTTGTGGGTTCATTCCCCAACAAACAGTGGATTTTATTTTGCAGCAGAAATGTCAGTGTTATTTGGCCAAATCTCTCATTAAACTGCACAACATCTCCGTTTTCTCCCTCTGACGTTTCCTCTCATCCTTGGGTTTTGGAGGCTTGAAAGATAGTGCTGAGAGGAGAAAAGAAAAGAAAAAGAAGGGTCTAGAGCTTTGAAGGTGGCAGCGCTGTGACAGCGTTCTGTTCGGCCATCCTTTCTGGCTGATAAAACAGCACACAAATAGCCAAGCTGCCCGCTTTGCATTGCACCAGGTAGGAACACACAGAGGGTAAGTGATGCAAGTGCTGAACATCAAACTGTGCAGAGTCCTTTCTTGGTGTTGTAGGGTTGTTATCACCAGGAGCTGGGAGGTATTTATAGCCTCAGCTGCGCTTAGCGGCGTCTGTGGCTTGTCTTTCCTCGTAACACCCAAGCGCCTCAGTCCCTTTTCATTTTTTTTGGTGGTTTTAGGAGCTCTCTAATTGAGCGCTGGCTTGTGAGTCTGTTTCTGTTCAGTGTTGCTGTAATCTCTTGTGAAATATCAGTCCTGCACTTAGTCCCTCAGGGGGAGAGGAGGGAGAAACTGGAGAGGGGTCATCCCTGAGGGTGTGGGGGAGAGCTGGAACTCGGCCTGCAGTGTTTGCTTCTGAGTGACAGTGATGGAAGGGGGGTGGGATATCCATCTACTGCTCCCTGGGGCTGTGAACACGCAGTGGGGAGGAGGAGGGGGTCTGTGAAGCCACAGGACCATTTAGGGGAGGGAATACCCTGCAGCCAGGAGCCCCCTTTTCTGCCTGGGGTGCTGAAATCTAGTTTTCCATGAAAAGCTGCAGTGTGGATGGGAAGCTGGACGGGATGACCTTACTTTCAGATGTTTAATTGGAACGTCTGGTTTTATCTCGAGGCATTTTCTCCAGGATCTAACCCTTTTACATACACATAACCCATACACAAATGGGTTTGTTCTGGGAGACCAGGACTTGCCCTTCCCTGGCCAGGGACGTGTGTGGTGCCGGCCTTTGGAGCCTTGTGCTCCCCATAACTGCCGCCACTCGTGCTAAAATCCCAGACCCTGACCCCCCACAGACAAGCTGACGCTAGAGCTGTGTTGCACGCGCTCGGTGTGATCGGGGGGCAGATATCTCAGCCTGACGGTTCTCTTCTTGCCTCGGTAGATGGCTCTTCCCCATCATCGGCCACATGGGAATCTGCACATCAACAGGAGTCATCCGGGACTTTGCGGGGCCGTACTTTGTCTCAGTGAGTAGATGATGGATCCGAGTGCTTGAGCAGAATCCGTGCTTGGTCTGCCTCTCACCTTCCTTGGTGACTTTGAGCCAGCCCCTGTCTTTTGCAGCTCAAAGTTATACAAAGTGGTGGCTTGAGGGTTTCTGAAGATCATGGATCTTTGCTGTGACTCTGGGGGCTGCTGTCCCGTGGAGGTTGGTTGAGGGTATGACAGATAGTGGCTGTTTTGGTTTGGTGAGCAGAAGGGGAAAAAATCTTGTAGTCCAGGCTCTTCATTGGGAGTTTTGGATGTAAATTCTCTTAATTCTGCGTAACAGAAGCTGCCTTCCAACTTCCTCAGCATGTCTGTTACTGTTGTGCTGCTTGGCATCAGGTACGTGCCAGGCTGCTGGATTTTGAGAGTCAGGGAGTTTTAAGTTGGGACAATGAATACTTGTAATAGATTGGGACATTTACAGCTTTGAATTAACAAAGTATTAACAGTGGCAGGGGAAAAAAACCCCCCAAAACTGGGAACAAGGTAGGTATAGGATGTAGCTGGATGATGTCACAGTGTATAGAGTATAAACAGACTCGTGCCCCGAACAGCAATATGGAAACAATTGAGATCCAAATCCAGCCACACAAATCAGATTGGTGTCTCGAGACTGGCGAGGCAACGTGACAGCTTCATCACCACGCGATCGCGGGCTGTGAGGCCTTCCAGCAAGAGGCACGTCATGAGTATCGTGTGGGGTTATCCTCCTGAGACGTTTTTCCTTTTTTTGTAGGAAGACAACATGGCATTTGGGAAGCCGGTGAAGTAAGTGCTCTTGTTATGTTTTATTAAACCAGCCGACGGACCTGCAGCCGTCCTTTAATTCGCGGAGACAGACGTGCTATCGTCTTGCTTTTCCTGTTGTTCAGATTCCCTAATTCAAGTGGATGGCTACTGTGTCTCTGCTTTTCAAGAAACCACGTTGAATTAAATCTTTTTAGAAGCGTGACAGCAACGTAATGGTATTAATAACTAGAGCTGTATGGAGCCTTTATTGGAGAAAAAAAAAAAGAAAAGAAAAGGCTAAAACATTTTAAGATAACGTTAACAACAAGTGCTCCAAGTAAATACTGCCTGTGCTATGCTAACGAACTGTCATCCCTCACATCCTGGTAACGACTTTCTGGGGGGAGGAGGAGCGGTGCCTGGGTTTTGTGTGTCTGTCAGATCAGGTTTACGTTTTGAATGGCCTGAAGAAAGTTTCACGTTCCTGAACGTGAAACTCGGGATGTGAAGGCAGTCCAGGGTTTTGTCTGTGCCCCCGAGGTCTGCAGTTCCTGTGGGGTGCTGTGGGGCTGAGGGTGCTGAGCATTAATTTCTGCTGCACTCTGCAGTGTATGCTTGTCTTGAAGAGCTCAGCTCCAGAAGTAATTAATTTGTTTTAAGTTCTTTAAGCAGCTTCCACCTGGGAAGAGCAAGAAGTGGCAAAGGTGCAGCAGTGACGCAGAGAGATCTGCTCTCATCCTTTTAGGTACTGGAAGCTGGATCCCAGCAAAGTGTACTCCACTGGTCCCAACGCCTGGGACACCGCCGTGCACGACGCCTCGGAGGAGTACAAGCACCGAATGGTACGGCTCCGGCGCTCTGGAGGAATATCTCCCCAGTGTCTGGGTGCTGGAGTGGGACCAGCGAAGGGTGGGGAGCCTCGGGGACAGGATTTCTGACGCCGTGCCCCTTTTTCTGTTCCAGCACAACCTCTGCTGTGATAACTGCCATTCGCATGTGGCGCTGGCCTTAAACCTGATGAGGTACGACAACAGCACCTCCTGGAACATGGTGAAGCTCTGCTTCTTCTCCCTCCTCTACGGGAAGTACGTAAGGTGAGCTGGGGAGCAGTCCAGATTCAGTGGGAAAGGGGTTCTTCTTTCATTCGTCCCAGCCCTCCAGAGCTTCAGACTGGCCTGTGGAGAAGGGAGAAACATCTCTCCCCCACAACATGTGGGTGTGTGTTGCTGGTAGATGGTATTGTCACTGCTGCCTGCTCTTAGGAAAAGAACCAGTGGTGCTTGCTGGGCTGCACTGGATGCTGCTCCTGAAATACTGTATCTGGCACCTGGTTTAGGGTGCCTGGAGTTTGGGAAATGCAGCTGGTTTAGGGTGCCTGGAGTTTGGGAAATGCAGCTGGTTTAGGGTGCCTGGAGTTTGGGAAATGCTCGCTAAAGCAAAGCTCGCTCTGCGTTGTCTTTTGGCTGGGTTATGTCAGAAGATAAGGTTGCAGAGTGGCTTGTCTTCAAGGATTACTGGTTTCTCTTTCCTCTCTTGAATCTTGTTGACATAAAACTGGTCAGATTTCCAACTGGTGTGGAGCTTCCAACTTGAGTGGAGAGGGAAACCCCGAGCTTTCCGTACTAGAAAGGGGAATTAATCTCCATGTCAGCTCCCTGTGCCGGAAGAGGAGATTCTGCAACAACTGCCTTGCACAAGGCTTTTGAGTTGCTCCACTTCTGGTGGGTCTCTCCTGTTCTGGAAGAGCTTCACTTAGGCAAGTGGAGTCCCTGCTGTCTTGCTTAAATGCACCAGCAGCCTGAATAATGAGGCTTGCCGTAACGGAGTTGCATTAATTGTGGTCTCCTGCCACCACTCCTGTCTGTGCAGACAGGAAACGTGCTAGTCTTCGACCTGAATTTAAGCTGGAAGGAGAGCCCAGCCCTATTGTTCGCAATACAGTTATTTGTGGACCTGATTTAGTCTCAATTTTTAACGCAGACTGAACCTCCAGGGTGTGATGTGTGGCAGTGCCAGCAATGGATAAGAAGGTCAGAAGGGCATCTGTCTCCTGATTTCTCCAATTATTCTCATATCCTTCTCTCTCTTTTCTCTGTCTCTGCTGATTTCTTACATTTAAACCCTCTTCCTTTTTTTCCATCTTGCAGCATAGGGGGATTCGTGAAGACCTGGCTTCCCTTCGTCCTCTTCTTGGGGGTGATCGTGACCGTTGTTCTGACGCTTCACTTGCGGTGATGGCAGCTGGGAATTCTCCATTCCGTGGGCACACGAAGGAAGAAACTGTGACTGATCCAGTGAGATAGAGGCGTGGGACTCTGGGAACCGTTTTCCGGGGAAGGTGGCAACTCCACTCCATTGTAACAGCTCATCTTTATTTCCTGGAACTGGCTTCTTTTCCTTCTGTTTTTGTTCTGTCGATGCTGTCTCCCAGTGTCAGGGGTCCCGAAGCCTCCTGCTCTCTCCCTTTCTGCAGTTTGGCAGGTAGAACCGTGATCAGGAAAGGAGAGGTGTGGGCACCTTTGCTTTCAGTGCCAAGCCACATGGCAAAACCCTGCCTCCTGGTTCAGGAGCACGAGCAGATCCACCTTGTAAGGTTCTCTCTGATCATTTCTTCCTCTTGGCAGACCTCATCTTCCTCCGATTTCCCAAGTCTCCAAGCAGGAGTTGTTGTTTCCCCGTCGCACATGTTCTGAAGTGGAGGTGTGGGGTTCCTCCGAAGGGTGTCGAGTGCCGCAGCACGCACTGATGGTCTCCCCGGTAGTGACAGAAAGGTGGTGACGGTGGGACACACTGAGGAGCCATGCAGAGGAGCGCTCTGTGGCAGGGCAAACTCGTCTGGTCCTGCTGGTGAGCCCAGAAAGGCAGGAAAGTCGATCAGCCGCCTTGGGTACGGCTCGTGGCAGTCTGCACACCTTCAGTATCCTGCTGCAGAGTTGGGAGTCTGCTGCCGAGTCCCTTTTAGCTTGTGCCAGAGAAAATAGAGCTTCCCTGCTTCTCCTGGTGTTCTGAGTGTCTAAAATTATTGTTACACTTCTCACGAGCCACTTTCTTGCTCACGAGCCACTTTCTTGCTCACTTTCCTTTGATCCCTAGTACTCGGTGTGTCGCAGTGTACCTGAGCCTGCAGAGGTGGCAGCAGGGACGTGTTTCTGGGACGGAAAGCTTAGCGCAGGGTTTTGAAAGCATCCGTGAGAGCAGCACACGAGACCTGAGCATAGTGGGGCCATCAGAGATTAAAAGAAAAGGCGAAGGGACTGGAAAGATCTCTGCTCTGGCTGGGCTTTGGAGCAGCAAACTGGGGCGCTGGCTTTTTAGCAGCTGGTTCCAGGATGGTCTGTTTGCTTCCGCGGCATGCTTTGAAGAGCACACCTGGGGTGAAGGTGCTTTGCAGGACTGGCTTTGATGTGAGAAGTGCTGCTCTGGGGGCTGGTGGCCCTTTGGAGCCCTGGATGGGGCAGGAGGGGTGGCAGGGGGTGGGTTGTTCTCCGGTGTGAGGCAGGAGGTGGATTTGGACGTGACCCGGAGCCTCTGCCAGGGGGAGCAGTCCGGGTCTGTGTGCAAGGTGCTGCCCTGCAGACGCTGCTTTCCGTGGGGCTCTGAGCCAGGTGGCTTTGTACAAACAAGCCTGGCTGAAGGTGTGCAGTTGGGCAGAGGAGGGAGAAGAGCTTTTCCACCCAGCCCTTTGCTCCTCCACCTGGATTTCAACCTCAAGGAATGCTCGTGGCCAGCAGGAAAGCTCCTCTCCCCTGCCCGCCATCCCTGGGGCTGCCTCTGGCTGGGAAACCCGTCACCGTCACTTCTGGCCCCCGGACCTGTCCCTGTGTGCCGCCTCCTCCCCATCCATCTCCCTGATATGACCCTAATATGCAAGGGTTGGGGACTCCTCTCCGGCCTCTCCATTTCTGTATTTCCTCCTTTTCCTCCATCACTTTAACCCCTTCAACCTCTCCCTTCTCTGCAGCACCCAGTTGTCTCTGTTACTGGGTGCTGGCTGTTCTGGGGTGGGTGGAGGTGTGCAGACCTCGGCGCCCTTCCCAGTCGAGCTGGAACTGACACAGTTGTCGGTGTCGGCTCTCCACACTCCCTTCGAGCCTGCGTGGGGAGCGGGCTGGAGGGTGCAGGGCCTGGGACTGATTCGAAAGCCAAGATCTTGATCAAAGAGAACCTTACGATGAAAGGCTGGTGTCTCACCGAGCTCCCCGGTATCACCGCCGTCTCCACCCCGCCAGCCTGCTGGCGAACGTGCCCTTGGACGAGCCGGTTGAACAGGAGCGATGAGTCCTTTGTCTCTGGTTTTAATTTATGATTTCTCAGAGAGACCTGCCAAGGATGGGCTCCGAGTCCCTGGCCCCAGGGCTGAAGCCAACCTGTCTTACGCCGTAGCAATAATCTAGAGACCTTTAGGCCTGTCTCACACGTCTGTTCGGTGTTTTATCGATAAGCTATACAAGCATTGCCAAAGCTGAGACTTCGAGTTGTCGGGGGAAGCCGGGAGCAGGGCTGCTGGACACAATCCCTGCTCCTGGGACTCTGGAAAACATGTTGAGTGCCATTCCCCACCGTGGAAATCCTTGTGTTTGCTCCTAATGCTTTTTTACCAGATCTGGCTTTCGAACGGAGACTTAGCGCGAGCAGCAAACGAACCTCACAGTCGCCGGGGAAGGAAGGCAGCGCTTCGCCCAAGTCCTGGCTGAGCGGCTGGCCCGCTTCCACCCGCTGATGGCTCCGGGCATCCGAAGGAAATGTGGATAACGGGAGAGCCAGGCCCAGAGACCAGGTACCGCGGAGCCAGCCTGCGCATCCGCATGGGACATGTACAGACGGATGCTGCCCGCAGTGGCGGGACACCGGGAGAGGCAGACGGGCTCTTGGATTTCTGGTCTTCCGACACTAAACCCCAGCGGGGGTTTGTGTGGGGAGTGGGCTGCTGCCCCTTGGCGTGGGAGGTGGCAGAGGGGGTGGGTGGGTGAGGAGTGTCCCCTCCTTGCAGCTTCCGTCATCGCAGTGCCCCCTGCGACGAGCCACAGGAAAGGTTCTCCCCATCCTTCACCACCCTGATGCCGGTTTTCCACTCCCCGCCGTTCCCCGTTGGATGTGCTCGTGCTGCAGGATCTCCGTGGCTTCGCCATTGCGAACCCTCCGTCCCCCCGTTCTTTGTTCTCTTGATCTCTGTGGGGCGCTGGATTACTTTGTAAATATTGAAACTCTTGCTGGTTTCATAATCCTGATGGTATGGGAAATAAAATTATTTCTGTGGATGTCTCCCCAGTGCCGCATCTCTTCTTGGCGAGACTCTTTCCTCCTTCCCGCTGGGAGCGGGGGGGGGGGTACCGGGGGCCCGCCGTCCAGCCCCTCTCCTGCCCCATGGCAGCATGTGGGGCTGTGCGCCAGAGCTGGACCCCCAACCTCCCACGCCTTTTGCTTCATTAACTTTTTTCTCTGCTCCAGGGCGAAAATCAGAGCCGATTTCAGACCTGCTGTTTCCGGGGGGTTTGGGTGAAGGATCAACCCAATTGTCCCAGTGTGGGAAGCTCTAGCGCTGCGTTTCTAGAAGTCCGGGACCTGCCCGTGGGCTTTGTGTGGTTTGGGAGGTGAAGGGGCTCTTCCTGCTCCTGCCCTTGGCTGATCCTGCAGCCGCTGCCCTGCTCAGCAGAGCCCTGGGCTGGGGGGAGCCCAGTGTGCTGGGGAGGAGGAGGAGGATTTTTTAGAAGATAACCCGCCTCTGGCAGGTCAATCCCCTTTAGCTGTGGATCGTTTCCCTTTCCCTGAAGTCTCTGCCATCTTTTCTTTCTCCGAGGCTGGGGGCACTGGCCTCTGACTCCTGTCCCTGGCAAACCCCCTTCCATTTCCCTGCGAGTGTTTGGGGATGGGACGCGTGTGCTGGGAGCTGCGGTGGAGGGGAGAGCGGGGTGGGATGCAGAGAGGGAGGTGGGACGGGGAGAGCCGGGTGAGATGGAGAGAGCAGGGTGGGATGTGAGGTGCCAGCCTCATTTTCCCTTCTCCCAGCAGGATCCCGCTGCCTGAACTGGGAGCGAGGGGAGCAGGGCCTCCGAGCGCTGTCAGCATTGCTAATGCCGCCGGTTTTCCATTCC